TATTAATTGGAAACATAGTGCACTTACAATGGGTATTGTGCACCTTACTCAACATTTCATCTTGTAATATTAATATATAAGGAAACGAATGAAAGCGAAAAAAAAAAAAAAAATTAAGATATGTTGTTCTTGACTTGATCCCAATACCATTTAGACCTCAATGGAATCAATAAACAAAGAAATAATGTGGGGTTTCAAAACCTTTTGTGGTTGCGTATATCCGTCTTCGTTACCTTTGTAGGTGACATCTATAATACGCTCAAGGTTGAGAATTCTCATTAAAATTTCTCTAGAGGAGGAAAATGGTCTAAGACACTCTTCATTGATATCCTTCCATGCATTTGTAGCCATTTCAAAAAATTTATCGAAGGCTTCTTCTTTTGTAACACCATTCTCTCTCATGTATGATTCGATGCCCGTGACAATTTGTCCCCTTTCCTTCTCAACCTTCAATAAGACAAAATTTAGAGTATGGTAATTAGATAAGAGACATGGAGTTGCTGGTAGAATTGATGTTTCCATATAAAAAACTTTGAGTTCATTTCATACCTCATAGGTGGCAATATCATCGATGAGTCGACATATTATGAGGCTAGAGACAAGCATTTTTGGTTTGTTGCTTAGCCATTCAAATTGTTCTTTGGTGGCAGATTTCATCCCCAACAATGATGTTGTTGTATGATAAACGTAAGTGCATGTGATTAAGGCATTGCTCATGTATTCAGAAAATGGCGGTAAATATCCTTCAATGAACCACTTGGCTTCCACATAGTAAGTCCTCACAAGTTCTTTCAACTGCATAAAATTTTGTAGACATTTGGGTAAGTTAACTAGGAAAAACTAAGTACAAAAACATAATAAGGAACGAGAGAAAAGGAATATAACTTATTTGAATAATCGTAAAATGTAGTAGTACTTACTGCTTCCTTTGCATAATAAATCGCATAAGATCTTCCTTCTTTCGATAGTTCTTCATCAAATTGCTCGTAAAGTTTCAACAGAGCACTATAGAATGGTTTGATATACTCCGGTAGCCGATGAATTTCGTTAATATCCCACCTAAAAAACAAGATATGAAGTTGATTAAGATCTTGAATAAACAATTGACCGCTCCAATAAACAATTTTGTATTACTACTGTGAATACATTTAATAAAAAGAAATGTTTATTCACGTACCTTTGAATTGCCTCCGTAAAAACTTCTAGTTCATCGACTGTGCCATAGGAATCATATGTATCATCTATTATTGATGTCATTGCAATCGTTTTTGTGAGCATGATTCGAGCAACTGAATATTGAGGTTCATGATACACTCCCATTGCCCAGAAAAAGCATTCTACCGCTCTATCTCTAGCATAGGGAAGTATAGACACAAGGTCCAATTCCTTCCACCACCTGTGATGAAAAATCAAAGGATCTTATTAACTTTGCGCACTCTGTGTATATGTATAAAGTGAGTTATCCTTTCACTTTTGAACAATAATGTTACCTTGAGACCTCGCATAGCTCCTTTTTATGCAGCATTTGCAATGAATTGTAGTCTAATTTGGCAAACCTCAACAGCACTTCATTCTTGGATTCATCTTCTTGGTACATGGAGATAAAATTGTGTGCCTCAATTCTCGGGTTCCCAAAATGGATGCATTGCACGAGGGCATGGGCTACTTGTTTCCCGAGGGTAGAGCTTAAATGAGGTGCCATGGATTTGAGGTTTTCCGTTGTGAAAGAAAGGGCATCTTCTAGTATATCTTCTCCATGCACTCTTAAGTATGTAGCTTCGTATAAGCTCAGCATGCCCCTTGCGTCGCTATTGATAGTCTCTTTGAATTTTCCATTCTCGTCTACGAATTTGTCGAACACTGCACAAGATATACGGTAGCCATGTTGTCTAAATAAACGAAAATGAAGTGCAACGGTGTACAGGTCATAGGCCTCATCTGCATAATTTGAGTTGAGATTAAAGAAACGTTCTAGTAGTTCTTCAATCTCATCTTCAAAGTGATATGATACGCCCAAGCGCTCAAGTGTTTCGATCAAATTCATCATCTCCACCATGTCTTTTCCTGGAGCTTTCAGCATGCTTCTTACCTCATTCTTTAACTCTTCAATTTCAATGGAATGTTTTAGTGTCAACTGCAAGATCACAAGCGCAATATNTTTAACTCTTCAATTTCCATGGAATGTTTTTGTGTCAACTGCAAGATCACAAGCGCAATATGTTATAAGCCAATCTTCGTAAATTTCCGAGAAGATCCCTTACTAAGGGCCTGTTTGAGGCTCATTTTTTTGGTGTAAAATGCATTTTTGAATAATAGATTGATGTAGAATATATGGATAAAAATGAAGGAAAAGTTTTTGAGTTGCGTATAATATTATTTTATTGAAAAATTGTGTAATTTCAAAGAAAAAAAAATGTGTTTTGAAAAAAATGGAGATCAAACAAGGGCTAAATCCTTAACTTTTAACTTTTGTAGTTTAAAACAATCTTCCATTTGTACACACCTTATCAAACATTACATCCTTAAAAATGTTACTAAATCTGGGAATTTTGGAGCC